AGTCTTGAAACACCCCACCCTAGGGAAAAGACACCCGCCATTCACCTAATCTATAAACCTCTATAAGGTCACCTCTCAACCTCCTACACTTCAGTGAAGGAAGTCCCAGCCTATCCAGCATCTCCTTATAGCCCAAACCCTCCATTCCCAGCAACATCATGGTAAATTTCTTCTGAACCCTCTCCAGCTTAATAATATCCTTCCTACAATAGGGTGACCAAAACTGGACAAAGTACTCCAGAAGAGCCTCACCAATGTCCTGCATAACCCCAACATAACGTCCCAACTCTTATACTCAAAGGTCTGAGCAATGAACGTAAGTATGCTAAATGCCTTTAACCACCCTATCTACGTGTGAAATGTAATTCTTTGAAACTGGCATCTGAATCCCTAAGGTCTCTCTATAACACTACCCAAGGCCCTACTTTTAATTGCATAAGTCCTGCCTTTGTTTGTTTTACCAAAATGTAATATCTTGCAAATTAAACTCCATCTGCCAGTCTTTAACCCATTGACCCGATCGATCAAGATTTCTTTGTAAACCTTAGATAACCTTCTTCACTGTCCACTACACCACCAATTTTGGAGTCATTTGCAAACTTACTATGCCTTCTATATTCTCATCTAAATCATTTACATAAAATGACAAAAGTGGACTCAACACCCATTCCTGTGGAACACCGCTGGTCACAGGCCTCCAATCTGAAAAACCACCCTCCACCATCACTTTGTCTCCTCCTGTAAAGCCAATTTTGTATCCAATTGGCAAGTTCGTCCTGAATCCCTTGTTCTCTAATCTTAATAATCAGTCTACCATGTGTAACCTTGTCAAAAGCTTTACGAAAGTCCAAGTAAACAATATCTACCACTCTGCTCTCATCAATCTTCTTGGTTACTTCTACAAAAAACTCAATTTTGAGAGATATGATTTCCCTCGCACAAAACCATACGGAGTATCCCTAATCATTCCTCGCCTCTCCAAATGCATACAAAACCTACCTTTCAGAATCACTTCCAACAACTCACCCACCACCCAAATCAGACTCATAGGTCTATAGTTCCCAGGCTTCTCCTTACACCCCTTCTTAAGGAACAACATATGCCACTCTCCAGTCCTCCAGCACGTTGCCTGTAGTTATAAACGATACAAAAATTTCTGCAAGGGGCCCACAATTTCCTTCCTAACCTCCCACAATGTCTTGGGATACACTAGATCAGGTGGAGGTTTATCCACCTTTACATTTTCTAAGACCTCCAGCACTTCCTCTTCTGTAATGTGAACGGTTTTCAAAACATCAATATTTATTACCCTGAGTCCTCTAGTGTCCAATTCTTTCTCCACAGTAAAAACTTGAGAATGTAAAATGCATATTCTTCAGCTCAAAGGTTTTCACTGAGCAGCACTGTTAATTAGAACCCATTTTTAATTCAGCCATGTAATATTTGATTACTTACAACAGTATCCTCCACTATATTACATCACATTATTTTAACTGCACGTTGCTAAGAATACGCTTTATTTTTAATATTGCTTGAAGTTAAGTTTAAGCTTGACTTAAGTTGTGAAAAGGAATTTTTTGCAAGTTTTGTGGACTTATCTGGAGTGGTTACTTTAAAAGAGGCAACTGAATGTTTACTGTGGACAATGGACATTGTTCTTTAAATAAGACTTCCTCAAAATCTCAGGATTGGTGATAACTGCTCCCTTTGCTGTAAACCCATCCAGGGCTGTTCCGAACAGTGACTGGCCTGGAGAGGTTCTTGTTTTATCTGGTTCAGTTGGAGGAAGGCCCAAGACCAACAGGTTCTGGAACGTCTGCTTTGTAGACACTGGGGAGACAGATGTTGCTGACTGCAGAATCCCAAACCTCTGACCTGCTGCTGTAGTCAAATTATTTATATGGCTGAAAAACAGAAAATGCTCAAAAAGCTCAGCAGGTCTGGCAGCATCTGTGGAGAGAA